CTAGTAAACAGGAGATCCTGGGTTCGACTCCCAGTGGTGCCTTGGCTCAGGGGCTGCTTTTCCTCCCTGTTCCAAGCTGGGGGGGTTCCCTGTTTGCCCCCTTACAATGATGACACTACCCCGGTGCAGTCTGGACACACACTTTTGACAAAAGCTTATTTCAGGGTAGGATAGGGGATGCTGAGGAGTATCTGGAAGTGTCAACAGGGACAGAAAGGACTTGGGAGCATCTTCAGGAAGCAGGGTAGGTGTTGAGGGGCCAGCAGCAGTACAAATGCAGTGAAGGAGCCTGTGGGGATGAGGGGAAGGTGTCCTCTGAGGGTAGCAAGGTTAAGGCATCTCCCAGTGGATTTGGGGTCCTGGGAGAGGGACCATGAGCACAGGCTCCACTGTGGGGCTGCATCATGGGATCAGGTGCCTTACAGCATGTTTTCAGCATTCATTATGGGCAGCAGAAGAGATGCAGATCATTCAGGGCTGTGTCATCTCTCTTCAGCCCCAGCGCAGTCTCCTGCCATGCCTGGATGCTGCACACCACCATAGGGCACGGGGGGCTGCCCCACTGGCCCCAGGCAGACCCCAGTCCCTCCAGGCCATCAGAGCAAACAAACTGGGTGTTGGTGACAGCCAGTCCGTGGTTCAGGAGCCTTTGTAGGGGTGCCTGGACCTGCAGCACAAAGCCCCCCGGGTGCCCTTAGTGGGGCCACCAGTGGAGTCCAACCTACATGAGGGAGAGAGAAGGTGGTGGGTGCTGAGCTTGACAGTGTGGAACCAGTCCTTAGGAGCTGGGAGCAGCTGTGGAGGAGGCTCTCCAGCCACGGGGAGGGGATGAGGGACACTGAGGTCTCACCTGCCACTCTGGGACTCAGCTCTGTAGTTGTCACTGAGGTTCCCATCATGGGAGCAGTGCAGCTGAATCCTATTGAGCACTATGTCATTTTCCATCATTCCCTGGGGAGCCTCTACCTGCAAGGCAACAGAGGTGGGGGGGTTAACTCCCCACAGGAGTGAGGTCCCTGGATGGACAGCTGTTAGCACTGGCATGGAGGCTGCAGCTTGAAGCTGATGCCACTGGTGTAGGAGCCCTTGGGGCACATGTCCAGCCAAGCCCAGTCTCCCCAGGGTCCCCCACTGGACACAGGGATGAGTGAGGCTTCCCTCCTGCCCAGGTCCTGCTCCTGTCCCTGCCCTGTGGTGCCCACAAGCCCCATGAGCAGCAGCAGGACCTGTGCCCCCAGCCCGGCTGCGCTGCCCACAGCCAGCCCACCATGCTCTTATTCCTGGCAGGAGGGACCTGGCAGCATCTCAGGGACTTTCCCAGGGTGCCCAGACCTGTCCAAGGGGCAGGATTAGCTGCAGGAGAGGGCTAATCCTCCACCATGTGGGGAGAAGGGAGTTGATGCAGCAGCTCTTTCTTTGGTTCCCTTTTTGGTTTTTTCCACAGTTACAATGAACAGGCAAGTTCACCAAGACCTCTGATGGGAAAACCCTTCTATACCTTCTCTGCCTGCAGTGCCCACAGTATCCAAGGTATCCATCCATGGTTTCACCCTTCCTTTGTCCCTGTTTGCTTCCCTGTTGCACTCTCCTTCTGGAATGTTATCAACTTACTGCCCAGCAGCCACTTTCTGCGGTGGTCATTCTTCTAAGGGTTTCTGAGCGTTTCCTTTTCCATGAGTCTTGGATAAGAGACTTCTAGCCCCTCCACACCAGGACCTGGCTGCCCTTTTAGATGCTTCCTCAGTCTCTCCTGCTGGAGCTACTGAGTTTCCTCCTGCTATCCCCTTCCCATAGTCCAGCACTGCTGCAGGGCACTGGTGACATCTTCCCCTGGGAAGGATGTAGATGCTGTGCTGGACCAAGCTATATTTCCTATGGAAGTGATTTGAAAGCTTGC